AGTGAGTATTGGTTTCCTCTACGAGGAATGGGGGTTCGGCGGTTAATGGGCTGTTTGTTGGTCTTTGGAGGCGGGTATTATCTTGAAGGTACAGAGAATGGTGTGGGACCCATCGGTGGTATGGTGTGCCCGGGAACATTCCAGTTAACCAAGGTTTAACTGGAATGTGGTGGTGCTGCACTGCGGACGGTAAGGTTGTCTCCGAGCTGGGTGGTTGCGGCTGGAGGCCTGGTGGTATATGGGGTCCGCAGGTGCATTTCAGATAATTTGTGGATGGGGCCTTCGAAGACCAACAACAAATTGGTATGCTTTCTGTTATAAGGAATGGTTTGGTGTTTAAATCGTGTGGTTAATAAAAGGCCACGTTGGCCATTTACTCCAAATCGGTGTCATATTTTTATTCAAGTAAGAGTTATAGGTAAGGGGATCTGGATGAACCGATCTCTGGTGCACTAGTCATGCTATCTGAGGCCACTTGTGACACTAATACAGTGATCAGTAAAAAAATCTGTACATTGTACTAATGACACTGGTGACAGAGCAGTGAAGGGGTTAACTGGGGGGCAATCAAGAGGTTAAATGTGACCTAGCTGTGCTTTTACTGTAAAAGTGTGCTGTTTTTACTCACTTGCTTTCTTCTCTCTCTGGAACGAAATGTGCCCAGGGAGAGAAGATTGCATCACTTCCTGTGCCTTTGTTCTGTAAACACAGGTACAGGCAGATCTCTGATAGGGCAGTGATCAATCAGCAGATTCCAGCCGAACATCACTGGCCTGAATCTGCTGATTGATCGGTGCAACATGGTGCGTCATGGCACCCCCGGGTCAGCCAGCTCATGGTCACGGCAGGAGCGTGGATCACATATATTTACGTGATTATGCGTAGGGAGTCCGCCCTGTAGCAGTAATCCCGCTATAGGGCAGAGCTAAAACAGTTAATGCAGAAGAGACAAAGTATGTGTCTTCTGCATTAAAAAATCCCATCTGTCCACATTTCTTTTTCATTAAAGTTCCACCTGAAAGCAGAACTAACTCTTTTTAAGCAGCAAAAGTTTTTTTTTTTTTGGGGGGGGGGGGGGGGGATAAAGAATGTGCAGAAATGAATAAAAGGTGACCAAGTTTAGTTTTTGGTTTCATACTGCTTTAAACCTGCATGAAAAAACACAGCACTACATAGAACAATTAGTAGCTTCTGCTTGACCCCTCAAGAATTCCTATGCAACTTGCATAGAAATCTTTCCCAGGCCCTCTGTGAAAGCTATATTGTTGCAGTCCGAAGGCTGTATATGTGTTCCTCAATACCTAGAAATATAGGTGTTGCACTACCACCTTAGAAGTCGCTGAATTTTGGGTACCCCTAAGCTATGCACACCCAGGCAACACGCATTTTCCACACTTTACACATTGGAGTCAAAGAACAGTCCTTGAGCTTGGTTTTATGATTTTATTAAGGGCTTAAGAACTTGGATGGGGTTTAGGGGTATATGGGATGCCTGAGGCACTGTAGAACTTGAAGACAACTTCTTATCAACTGTGTACAAAATGCGGATAGCAACAGTCTTTTCTTAGACAGAGCACTAAAGGCTCTTTGGTGTAACTCCTCAAAACCCAGATGATTCCTTTTCTTCACCCAGCTGCCTGAGGGTATCCCTGGGCACAAGGGTCCCAGAAGCTGCCAATTTAGCACAAGCAGTCCCGGATGAGAAGCTAGTTGGGTCTTTCACCTGACTTCCCTCTCCTCTTATTTGGCCCAGGGGGTGTAAGTGTACTCACACTGTCCTTTCCTGTCAGCTTATTGGGGTGGTGGCTGCCTTCACGCCTTTCGCTGGGCTGGCATCTTCCCTGTTGTTCAGGATTTCCTCCCCAGGAGACGGTGGCACTGCAGAGGTCCTCTTTTACAGTCAACACTGCCTACTGCTCTCCAGGCTCTGTGATATTTGAGGGTTACCTTGGTCACATGCCCAGCCTCCTGCCAGGGGATTTGCCAGGGTCCCTCAAACATGCAGATCTGGGCCTCCTCCCTTCCACTCCCCTGTTCCAGAAAGTTCTCCACTCTCTAGAAAGGTAGGAGGGCTCCAGAAGCCCTGATCTGTTAGAGCCTCCCAGCCTGTCCTGTGGTGAACTCCTGCCTCATTCACAGGCAGGCTTACTCCAGGCTGCTATGCAGCCTCTGCCTAAAAAAAGGAAAAAGCAAACAGCCTTTCTAGCTAACCTGGAGGGTGTTACTCTGGGTATAAGATGGAATGTTGGTAAAATATATCCTTGCAATAAGTCAGCAAAACAGATTTATATCCAAATACCTTATTCTTGTTATAAAGCAGTAGGTTTTTTTAACCACTTCCCGACCGGCCGTTGTATATAAACGGCCGGACGGTGGCAGTGCAGGATCAGGTGGCCATTTATAAACGGCCTCCCCGCACCCTGCTTGTGCGCTCTCCCTGGGAGCGCGCAGCACCGCGATCCGGTGCCCGCTGTGTCCTCCGAAACACCGATTGTCGGACGGGACCTCTGTACGAGGTCCCGATCATGTGATCACTGATTGGCCAATCAGTGATCACATGCAAAGTAGTAAGCAAGATGTCACTTGTGACATCATTGCTTACTACGTTTGAAATCTGGGAATGATCACAGAGGTCACATGGTACAAGGCTATTCACAACAGCCTTGTACCATGTGACAAGTTGTGACCAATCACAGTACTTCTCAATGAGTGCAAGAATGCAGACAGAGAGAAAGAGAAATGATTGCTTTTACATCCTATATGGGTATAAAAGCAATTGGTGTAAAAAAAAAAAATCTTCATCACCCCCCACAAGTAGTACAGTGTCATCATGGTGAAACTGTACTGCTAGGGTGACAGTATGTAAAAAAAAAAATACAAATAAAAATAATAATTTAAAAAAAATAAAATAAAAATATAAAAAAAAATGTTTAAAAATTACAATTTTTGGTTATAAACTAATTTGGATTTTTTTTTCTACTAAAAAGATAACGGAATACATTTTGGCAAAGATTTATGATGAAATATTATTTATTTGCAAAATTTTATATAAAAAAAAACAAATTTCAAAATTTTTGCACATTTTCAGTTACATAGCAAAAAAAAAAATAAAAAATCCCAGCGGTGAATAAGTACCATCAAAATAAAGCTTTATCTGTCTCAAAAAAATGGTAAAAAATTCATATGGGTACAGTGTTGCATGACCACGCAATTGTCATTCAAATTGTGATAGCACTGAAAGCTGAAAATTGCCCTGGTCAGGAAAGGGGTAAAAGTGTCCGGTCTGGAAGTGGTTAACTTACATACTGTATGTGTTGCATCGTGCTGGGTAGCCTTCCCCAATACAGTCTCAACACATAGACAAGGCAGTTATGTCTTATTAATTCAGTTTCCACCACCGCAGCACTGAAAAGCAGTAGGACATACTGTATTGTACTTTTTTCAGTCCAGTGTTGCAATCCACTACAATACATCACAACACATTTGAGTGCATAAAGATGAATAAATGAAATTTTTGGGAGGAGGTCGCTGCAAACTTGTCAGTGCCTGATTCTCCTGCTGTCTGAATGACAGGGGTGATGCTAACATGGGAGGATTTTACTTTCCTTTGACACCAGTGATGCAGGGACCTTTTTCCTTCCAGTGACACCACTGATGCAGGGACTTTTTTTTCCAGTGATACAACTGATACATGAGCATCTTTTTTTTCTAGTGACACCACCAATGCAGGAACATTTCTTCCTTCCATTGGTACCACCAACATGGTCATGTTTTTCTCACACTGATGCTGGGACATTTCTTTCTACATCACCATTAGCCCTATATGTTACTGTGTGATAGAACATGTCATGCTAATAAATTCATATCTTACATATGTTTTGATTCGCCGCGCTGGGTATGCTATTAACCCCAGCCCACCCAAAACATCACTTGGGGCAAAAGGGTTTACCCTAGGAACTGGATGACCTTATCCCAGCACTAATCATTACAACCCGAAGTTCTGGTTCGTTCACAGTGTACAGCAGCAGCCAAACGTTTATGCACATTTTTGTTGTGAATAGGCCCTGACTTCAACTCGCAGTTAAAATATGTCCTTTACCTCCTAAAATTTCCTATGACTGTCTGTTCTTGGTTCTGCAGAAAATGAAGGTTTTTTTTGCAATGAGAGTTGGTAAACTAAGTTTAGTGTCACCAGATGTTCTTCTCTCCATTCCCACTAGCTACAAAAAAATATTAACTTTAACTTGCAAAGTTTGTTTTTACTAATCTTTACTTTACGACCTGTTCCTTCGTAACTCGTTTTGCCTGAAAGAGCTGGAAGCAGGATTTGGGTTGAATTGTCCCGCCTAAATGTCGGGGGAATTGAAAACAAGAACTTAATTAACCAAGAGGTAGACAAAGCACAGAATAAAATACGTCTGATATGTTTTAATTTCTTTCAGGGGGAATCAATAGGATTTTTCAATCTCCAAAGAGGGAAAACAAAGTTCCAAGACTTTTTCTTCTATCATTTTTAAATTAAATCTGAAAATACCCCAAAGCTACAACCTGGAGTATCATGTCAGTTATTATTTCCAGCAAAGCAATTGTCTGCACCTCATTCTGATGTTTTCTCTAGAATTATTATTATTTACTTTGTAACTTATTGATGCAAATTGAAAGCACTATTTTCACATTATAAAGTCAAATGTTGTGTATGTATTAATAAGCATTTTTTATTTTATTTTAGCAGGATCTTTGTTAATATCAAATTAAACAGGAAATGAGCATCAAGGAATAATGCTGATGATGATGATAATGCAGTAATATACACTGTATTGTCAAAAGTATTGGGACACTCCTCAAAATCGCTGGATTCAGATGTTTCAATTTCCTCCATGGCCACAGATATATAAAATCAAGGCATGCAAACTGCTTCTACAAACATTTGTGAAAGAATGGGTTGCTCTCAGGAGCTCAGTGAATTCAAGCGTGGTACAGTGATAGTTTGCCACCTGTGCAATAAGTCCATTTGTGAAATTTTCTTGCTATTAAATATTCCACAGTCAACTGTTAGTGGTATTATAACAAAGTGGAAGCAACTGGGCACAACAGCAACTCAGCCATGAAGTGGTAGGCCACGTAAAATGACAGAGCGGGGTCAGCGCATGCTGAAGCACACAGTGCGCAGAAGTTGCCAACTGCCTACAGAGTCAATAGCAAAAGACCTCCAAATTTTGTGTGGCCTTCAGGTTAGCACAACAGTGCCTAGAGAGCTTTATGGAATGGGTTTTCATGGCCGAGAAGTTGCATCCAAGCCTTACATCACCAAGTGCAATGCAAAGTGTTGGATGCAGTGGTGTAAAGCATGCCGTTGCTGGACTCTAGAGCAGTGGAGACATGTTCTCTAGAGTGAGACAGAATCATGCTTCTCTGTCTGGCAATCTGATGGACAAGTCTGGGTTTGGCGGTTGCCAGGAGATTGGTACTTGCCTGATTGCACTGTGCGAAGTGTAAAGTTTGGTGGAGGTAGGATTATGGTGTGGGGTTGTTTTTCAGGGGTTGGGCTTGGACCCCTAAGTTCCAGTGAAGGGAACTCTTAAGGCAGCAGCATACCAAGATATTTTGGACAATTTCATGCTCCCAACTTTGTGGGAACAGTTTGGGGATGGCTCCTTCCTATTCCAACATGACTGTGCACCAGTGCACAAAATAAGGTCCATAAAGACACGGATGAGCAAGTTTGGGGTGGAGGAAACTTGACTAGCCGGCACAGAGTCCTGACCTCAACCTGATAGAACACCTTTGGGATGAATTAGAGCAGAGAGTACGAGCCAGGCTTTCGTGTCTGACATCAGTGCCTGATCTCACAAATGTGCTTCTGGAAGAATGGTCAAACATTCCCATAGACACACTCCTAAACCTTGTGGACAGCCTTCCCAGAAGAGTTGAAGCTGTGATAGCTCCAAAGGGTGGACCAACTCAATATTGAACCCTATGTACTAAGACTGGGATGCCATTAAAGTTTGTGTGCATGTAAAGGCAAGCGTCCCAATACTTTTGGCAATATAGTGTATAATAGAGTGCGGCTAATGTGCCCCAAAATTTGGTAATATTGCCCACTTTTACCACTTGAGCTCCAGAAGGTTTTACCCCCTTCATGAACAAGTCATTTTTGCTATTTGGCACTGTGCTACTTTAACTGGCAATTGCGCAGTCATGCAACCCTGTACCCAAATGAACCGTATATAATTTCACACAAACTGAGGTATATATATTTGAAAATTGATCAGCCCTGATGTACTGACTGTCTATTTAATTTCTTAAGGCTTTAAAATGCCAGGACAGTACAATTACCACCCAAATGACCCCATTTTGGAAAGTAGACAGTCTGAGGTATTTAGTAAGAGGCATGGCAAGTTTTTTTGAAGCTTTACAGCTTTTCCTCTGTTGTTCACTTTCTATTTCTAAGGACTACATATCCCCATGGTACCTTGCTGCCTGTGAGCAGTGATTCCTGAACTGACTCTGCCTCCTGAAACTCCTCCTCTCAGCATCTCTGTAGTTCAGAAGGTAGGCTCTGTGAAATGTGTGACACATTAGTGCCTCTTCACAGGACATAGTGAATATGTGTGACAGAATTCAAGGAAGTAAATGTGTGGAATTTTCACAAAGTAAGTTTACAAATTTAGAACTGTCAGATTAGTAGGAGTAGGCTAGATTTAATTGAAGTACAACATGGAACTTATGATGGTTCTAAAGGCTGAAGGTTTTTTACCTTAATGCATTCTCCGCATTAAGGTAAAAAAACCTTCTGAGTGCTGTTCCCCCTACCCTGCAACCCCCTTATACTTACCTTAGCCTGATCTGGATCGAATGCTGTGCCTGAGAGCAGTGTCTCTTTCCACTCTCTCCCTCCTCATAGGCTAAGTAAAAAAACTGTGGAAACCATTGGCTCCTGCTGCTGTCAATCACAGCCAGTAAGAAGAGAGCCAGGGGCAGGGATGAGATGTTCTCTGTTTGTAAATTGACATATAGATGGCTCAGAAGTGAGCCCACATGAGTGTCCCCATAGCAAGTGACCATAGATACACTTTAAAGTGCATTTAAACCAAAGAGACACATTATGATATTTTACAGCCTAACAGTCCTTAGATGTGGCGACTACACTTGTTTTTGTTTTTTTAAATTCAGGCTAAGCACATATTCTGCAATTACAATAATATATTTGTTGATTATGCCATAAATCCAGTGTGCTCCGATTTTCCTGTACACTGAACTGAAATCTCAAACAGTGTTATCAGCCCTTACCAGTTCTCTTCCATAAACTACTTTCCCCCTATGTTATGGAGAAGAGGAGTAGGTATTTGTAATTCAAATCAAGTTGAGCTGCTTTGGGTGGTAACACTTTTTCTCCATGGATACAGAATAACAAGTGAATGTTGTCACCCTAAGACAGGAAATATGTTAATGGTAGAATCAGTAGTTTAAAATAGAGGAAAATAGGCTTGAAAAAAAAAAAGAAATGTAAGGACTAGTAACCAGCAATATATTCAATGTTTGTTCATGGATTTAGATATGTTTTAAAGTGACCCATAGCATTGCTTTAAACACTACATATACAAATAGACAGCTGTATTCAGACTATCCCTATAAATCAATTCACAATATCAGGTGTATACGTATCTTATGTCTTTAAGGTGGAAGAAAAAAACCTTTTTTGTGATTCTCTATATTTAAATCCTGAAGTGTCAGGTGCATTTGTATTTTCTATAAAACTGGTGTGCATACAGTGAAAATGTGTCATAAAGTGCATGTGCATATGTAACTCATTTGTGTATATAAAACACACACAAGTGTAGGCATACCCTAATTGGCAGGTGCCTTAGTAATTTTAGTGTTTGAAATAAAACTAGAAAGAACTAAAAAATGTGTCATAAAGTGTGTGTGCATATGTAACTCATTTGTGTATATATATATATATATATATATAAAACACATACAGGCTAAGCATACCCTTAGAACTCCAGGTGCCTTAGCATTTTTCTGAATAAATAAAATGTATCATAAAGTGCATGTGCATTTATAACTCATTTAGGTGTGTATATAACATAACTAGATAATCAACAATAGTAACATAAGCAATGCATAATTACACAACATACCCATTTAAACATCAACAATATTAACATAATCAACGCATAATTACTTAAATGCAAACATTTTGTGCAAAGTCCACAATTCTAATTACGAATCTTCTTTTCTCATATATATCGCCACCATATATTTCATAAGTTCTTCAAGGAATCAAGTGTTTATATCCAACTAATTTTCTTCCTCTCTGAGAAATCACTTAAATCACCATCAAGTTGTGTATCCACCACCATTTGTGCTAGCTTCAACTCACCAGAACGTATTGCTGGTAAAATTTAAAACAGCCACCAAGCGTTCCCCTCTGGGTGTTATCCTTATGAGCGTCAGATCACCGGATTTTTTTGGAAGTTCCAGTCTCACCAGAATATCATATATAACAAGGAGAAAGGAGGAAGAGAGCTTTCATAATGTAAAAACTTCAAAATTGTTTTATTAAAATAACATAAAAACCACTCGCATTTTCCAGTGTCATCACCGACACTAGTATTAGGCTTGTATCAAGATCTCTCTCCGGCTATCTCACTCTGCCGCAAGTGTTCCCGATGTGCGTGGTGATGTCACATCCAAGCCCCGCCCTATGCATTGCATCAGTCGACGTCCTCAAGGGGCGGTCCTCATTAGAATCGTGGACAAAACTTTTGCATTTGAATAATTATTCATTGCGTATGTTACTATTGTTGATGATTATCTATTTATGTTATATACACACATAGGTGAGTTATATAGGCACATGCACTTTATGACACATTTTATTTAATCAGAAAAATGCTAAGGCACCTGGCATTCTAAGGGTATGCTTAGCCTGTATGTGTTATATACACTGCCAAAAAAAATTAAAGGATAACTTTGAAAACACATCAGATCTCAATGGGGAAAAATATGCTGGATATCTATACTGATATGGACTGGGTAATGTGTTAGGAACTTAAGGATGCACCATCGTTTGATGGAAATGAAAATTATCAACTTACAGAGGACTGAATTCAAAGACACCCCAAAAATCAAAGTGAAAAAATGATGCAGCAGGCTAGTCCATTTTGCTGAAATTTCATTGCAGCAATTCAAAATGGTACTCAGTAGTTTGTATGGCCCCCATGTGCTTGTATGCATGCCTGACAACATCAGGGCATGCTCCTAATGAGACGACGGATGGTGTCCTGGGGTATTTCCTCCCAGATCTGGACCACGGCATCACGGGTGGCAGCATCAGATGGACTGAAACATGATATCCCAGAGGTATTCTATTGGATTTAGGGCAGGAGACCATGGGGGCCATTCAGTGGTATCAATTCCTTCATCCTCCAGGAACTGCCTGCATACTCTCACCACATGAGGCCGGACATTGTCCTGCACCAGGAGGAAACCAGGACCCACTGCAGCAGCGTAGGATCTGACAATGGGTCCAAGGATTTTATCGCAATCCCTAATAGCAGTCAGGGTGCCATTGTCTAGCCTGTAGAGGTCTGTGTGTCCCTCCATGGATATGCCTCCCCAGACCATCACTGACCCACCACCAAAATGGTCATACTGGACGATGTTACAGGCAGCATAACATTCTCCACGGCTTTTCCAAACCCTTTCACGTCTGTCACATGTGCTCAGGGTGAATCTGCTCCCATCTGTGAAAAGACCTGACAATTCTGGTGTCCAATGGCAAATGCCAATTAAGCTCTATGGTGCCAGGCAGTGATCAAAGGGCCCACTAGAGGACATCGGGCCCTCAGGCCACCCTCATGAAATCTGTTTATGATTATTTGGTCAGAGACATTCACACCAGTGGCATGCTAGAGCTCATTATGTAGGGCAGTGCTCATCCTATTCCTCCTAGCACAAAGGAGCAGATACTGGTCCTGCTGATAGGTTAAAGACTTTCTATGGCCCTGTCCAGCCCTCCTAGAGTAACTGCCTGTCTCCTGGAATCTCCTCCATGCTCATGAGACTGGGAGAACAGCATACCTTCTGGCAATGGCATGTTTTGATGTTCTATCCTGGAGGAGTTGGTCTGCCTGTTCAACCTCTGTTGGGTCCAGGTATCGCCTCATGCTACCAGTAGTGACACACTGACCCTAGCCAAATGCAAAACTAGTGAAAAACAGTCAGAAAAGATGAGTAGGGAAAAAAATGTCAGTGGCCTCTACCTGTAAAACCATTCCTGTTTTGGGGGTCATCTCATTGTTGCCCATCTAGTGCATCTATTGTTAATTTCATTAACACCAAAGCAACTGAAACTGATT